ACTGAGGCCTTCCTGACCTCCTATTCAACCCTAGTGTACATAATTGACAAAGTCTTGATTTGGATGAAGTTTTCGTCACTAACTTTCACACTGCTTGTGCTTGATTGTTCACAGACATGTGAATTAGAGTTAGGCTACTTTCACACTGAGGAGTTTTTGAAGCATTTTTGTGTTAAAAAAGCGCCTGAAAAGCTCAAGAAAAATGCTTCCCTATGTATTTGAATGTATATCTAATGTATGTTTTCACACTGAGGCATTGTGCTTGCGGTGCGGTGTAAAAACTCCTGCTTGCAGCATCTTTGGGGCATGTTTGGTGAGTTTAAAAAAACGCCCCAAAAACGCCTCTTCCCATTGAAATCAATAGAAAACGCTTGAAAAATGCCTGAAAAGCGCCTCAAAAACGCCTCTGAAAAGAGTTTTTGGTGCAGTTTTTAAGTAACGTGTCCTTTAAAAACGCTCAGAAAGCGCGGTAAAAAGGCCTATGCGGTTTTGCTGTGTTTTTGCGGTGGATCAGTGTGAAAGTAGCCTTACAGTTATAGACATAAATAATTTTGAAAGGGTTTCATTCTTGCTGCCATTGGTAACTTGCAGGTTTTGCCTGCTTTTTGTGTCTTCTTTACACACATCTCATTGCTTGTTCTGTTGCTCTTTTGTGTGTCTCCTATCAGCCTGTGGATAGAAACCACTATCACTGGTCTCTCCCATTCCTGAGGATATAAATACTTATGCATTATTAGTAGCCAGGTCTTGGCACATTGATTGTGGACCTTGATGTGTGTTATTTGACTTTCATTGAGTATAGGTCCTATCCTAATGTATGACTGTGTTTTTTTTTTTATTCTGCCCTGGCAACCTTCTGATCCAACTCCAGTTGTTTGATTGCAAAAGAGTGCATTTGCACCCCATCACTTATTATCAGTTTGTGTTTACTTTTGGGAACTTCAATCCTGGTATTATTCAGCCTTCAGCTCGCTTGTCATTTTTGTCCATCTGGTCCCTACGAAGGCTGGCCATACATTATACAATTTTCTTTTGTCTTTCAGATTTACCAAAACCAAATAATATGAGGTCAAACCTAAACACTTTCAATTTGTATGCAATCAGGAAGACCCTTGCACTACATAATTGAAGGTAACTCTAAAGTAAATTGAACAAGAAAATTGTATAATACATGGCCATCCTAACCCTTGTGTGCACCTTACTTGTTACTCTCTAGACTCGGGTACAAGCTGTTGCCATGGGGTAGAAAAAGGTCTTCAGAACCCTAAGACCTTAGGGGCAGTTAAGTATTGTAAAGCACTAGTAATTTGTCTGAAATTTGGCTGCTAAAGGTGAAAGAGCACACGAAAACAGCAAAGTCTTCTCATTGACTCATGGTTGATAGCTAGGTCTGCCTCCGTTATCTACTTGTGTTTTAGATTTTGTTTACCCTGTTTCTGCTTGACATTCTGGTTTTGGCTTTAATCTTAATAGGCTATTGTCCAGCTTTAACCCGACTTCCCCTTTGATGCTGTTGTTAGCTACTGGTGCATAGCCCTTGCACCAGGAGTGTCAAAACCCTTGACCAGCAGCCTAAAAAACAGTAGTCTGATCTTCCAATGTCAACATAAACAGCCAATAAACAGTAGGTTCTCCTTCCAAGATGAACACGAAAAGCAGATGGAATGGATCATAGGCTGGAGAGCTGATAGGCTGGTAGGCTGGAGAGCTGATGAACAGTAGATTGACCATCTAAGGTCAACATGAAAAGTCAATGCACAATCTGCTAGCCTTCCCACATCGATATGAACAACCTATGAACAGTAGGCTAAAATTCCAAGGTCAAAATGAACAGTAGATGAACAATAGGCTGACCATCTACACAAACAGCTGAAGAACAGTAAGCTAACCTTCGAAGGCCAACACTAACAGTTTAAATACAGTAGCTTGACCTTCCAAAGCTAACTAAACATTTGTAAAACATCAACATGAAATTGGGCTGAACAAAAAGCTAACCTTCCAAGGCCACATTAATATCCAACAAACAGTGATATGACCACAAGAGAGAAGCATGAATTGCCTTTGAGCAGGAAGCGCTCTTATTTTGCTAAACAGGAGGCTGGCCTCCTGAACAGGATGGCTTCTTTGGGAACAGTAAATGAATCCTTCTGTGCATCGAATATCATGTAATTTCATAGAGGCAGAAACGGAGGAGAAAAAGGTTTACTGTTCTAACAAGAGGATTTTATAGACACGCTTTCAGGAGCTAACCATTACACCTCATCAGGTCAGCTCAGAAATGTTACACCAAGGAGAAAGAAAATACCGGAGCTAAAGATGATTTTTACCAAATGTATGGGATTACACAATGATGGGTGTAGTCTAGGCCTAGCTTGTCCCTTCACAGTACCTTACTCTCCTATAGACACATCAGTTCTTCTCCAAACAGCATATGGGAACATTTTAGGGAAAGCTTTTGTGATGGATTTTACTGTAGGAAGAACAAAAAAATCAAGCAGATTGTGGCAGGGAGCCAAACTAATTTACTCGATAAAGGTCAAAGCTAAAGTTACTAAACAGAAGACTATCCCTTAATAAAATTTGGGTTCATCTGTAGCACCTGCTCAACACATTTGCCAGCAGATCTAGCAATCTGTGCTGTGCATCTCTTTTGTCTCTTTTGGCTAGAAACTCACTAGCCGGTGCTTAAATATAAAAAACCTGGTCCACGTAAGAGGTTATCTTCGGTCCTTGCTAAATCTAATTATGATCAGGCAGTGTTAGATTAGGAAACATCTTAAGGTACCCATAGACACAGGAAAAAAATGTTGGTTTGCACCATGATCATAACATCTTCCATGTGAATCATCCAGCATTTACATATACAATCGACATTCGCAGGTTTCTCTTGTATAAGTAAGAGGTTATCTTCGGTCCTTGCTAAATCTAATTATGATCAGGCAGTGTTAGATTAGGAAACATCTTAAGGTACCCATAGACACAGGAAAAAATGTTGGTTTGCACCATGATCATAACATCTACCGTGTGAATCATTCAGCATTTACATATAAACACAAATAGGTGCGGCGCTGAATATGCGTGGAAAACTGAACCATGACAATATTAAATGGCATAATGAATAGATATAAGATATAAAATATATAAAATATAAAGTGCAAAGTCTTAAATCACCCTAAGGTGAAAAAGCTGAATGGAATGTCCCAAGGTAATGGAAAAAAAGCCCACGTGGGGATCCGGTAGAGCCTGATGAGTGCGTGGGGAATAAATCCAGTGTAGCAAACAATGAGTGTAGAATAAATGAAATGCGCACTCACCAGAAGTGCGTCAAAAATATGCATATGAGATTAGCCTGTCTCATCAGGTATGGTAATGGTCATCTGCAGCCAGGATAGGGTCAGGATCTTACACCATCTGGTCTCGTCTAGAGTGGGGTACTCCGGGGACCTTACTGCGTATCAACGTCTGGGATCCCTTAAAACAGGTTCTGCGGTTGGAGGCTCTCAGTGAAGAGAGCCCAATAAAGGACACCACATAGTGTGATACCGTAGATACTTGTTTATTGCTTCAAAGGTGTAATAAAATACAAGAGAAATAAATGAAATAGAAACTGACCATGTAAAATTCAGGATGGCCACCAGCGGTGGTCAGACGTCCAGAAACTGTAGCCCCCCTGACGCGTTTGCACATCATCATTGGGTGCTGGGCTTACTCACTGAGAGCCTCCACCCGCAGAACCTGTTTTAAGGGATCCCAGACGGTGATACGCAGTAAGGTCCCTGGAGTACCCAACTCTAGACGAGACCAGATGGTGTAAGATCCTGACCCTATCCTGGCTGCATATGACCATTACCATACCTGATGAGACAGGCTAATCTCATATGCAAATTTTTGACGCACTTCATTCAGTGCGCATTTTATTCATTTTACACTCATCGTTTGCTACACTGGATTTATTCCCCACGCACTCATCAGGATCTACCGGATCCCCACGTGGGCTTTTTTTTCCATTACCTTGGGACATTCCATTCAGCTTTTTCACCTTAGGGTGATTTATGACTTTGCACTTTATATTTTACATATTTTATATCTTATATCTATTCATTATGCCATTTAATATTGTCATGGTTCAGTTTTCCACGCACATTCAGCGCTGCACCTATTTGTATTTATAGTGTTTGGAAGGTTTGATTTGGTTGCCTTTTTGGTGTTCTAGTGGCTATTTTAGAGTTTCAGATAGCGCTCGCTTACCATCCTTCTGTACTCAGCATTTACATATACAATCGACATTCGCAGATTTCTCTTGTATAATAGGTCAAAAAGGAACTAAGCAGTATAACTTTCAAATACAGCACACCATAAAGAAAGGCAATAAAGTTGCAAAGCTAAGTCTTTATGGGACATAGGGAGATGCTAAAATGGGCATTTTTTTTACATTTTAGTTTAAGATAAAAAATAAAACATTATGCTTTTCATCCCCTCTATATGAATCAATTTAACTGAGCCATGTCAAAAACGTCTGCTACATAACACCTGGACTGGCCATGACTGGCTTAGTGTTTATCTCCAATGCTTTTTTTTCTTTTGAAATATGTATGTGCTGGGATGACGACCAGACCTAAAAGTTATTATTTATTTTGGCCAAAGATCCTTTTTTCCCTTTAGCTGTCATTTATGAACCATATTGGTTCTAAATCTATGCAGTTCCGACCTTCATATTTAGGAAGGGCGGCAATGGCAATACAATCCACTATTGGTTGATGAAAAACCACATCATCGTCAAGGCCTATGGTATCAAGTATTGGTAGGCAAAACCTAAAAGAGGGAAATAGGCAAAGGAGAAAATAAAATGCCTCAGGGGCCCTAATATAAAGGTGGAACAAGAACACCAAGCTCTTTCTCAATCACTAACCCTATAATTTGGTTTATGTGACTTTTCTCTTATTTTTGCTGCAGTGGGGTATGTAGACTATTTAACAGCAGCAATGTTTTACTGTATTTACCTGAACCAGAGTCATCTGTGACCCAAGTGCCAGGAGGATTTTCTCGGTCTTCGTTGGATATGGGTTGTCCCGATGCTTGTACAGCCACTGCTTCAATGGTCGCGCCATGTCTTGCAGCGCCTGCCGTTTGTGCCTCACTTTACCGCTGCTTCCTCTAGAACTGCTGCAAGAAAAATAAAAAAACAATGATGATAACCTGGATGAGTGACCTAAACGGTGTTGCTTTTACTTTAATATTATTATTATTATAAAGGATTTACAGAGCGCCAACAGCTTGCTCAGCGCTTTACAATATACTGTAAGACAGAAGAGTAGAGCCAAAAAGTGTATACTGTAAATAGCTCCTATTTTGGCAGATGTGAAACCAAACTGGATGACATTTTGTTTGCTAAAACACTGTATATCATAAACAATTGCATTTTATATTTTCATAGAATACAGTTTTTTTTTTACCATTTTTCCATCTTTTTTTGGATCTCACTGTTGCTGGCCTCTTTTAGCCACATCCTATTTACATGCATTGGCTCGGGAAATTACCTGCATTGCTCTGAATCTGCTTCAAGAAAGTGACAACAGTGGACCATGGCCACACAATGTGTGTCGACACGGCTGCATGCAAACTCAACCTGGGACAAGGCAGGTGTACAACTGAGAAACAGCTGTCACCCTACAACAGAAAATCATCATGGCAAGATCTCCACGTATTCTACATTGATAGATATTCAGCATAAACTGATTCATGTTACAGTAAAGTTCAGCGATCTGTACATTAAGGCTCCATGCTCCTGAGTTTAGCATTTTGCCTGAAGCAACTAATATCCTATGAATCCATGAGCGTTAGGTAGTCTAGAGGCATTTTTTAAGCTCAACGTTTAGAGGCAGGAAAAAAAACCTTCTGTTTTTTGTTTTTCAGAGGCAGGCAGTAAAAAGCACTAAACATTCCTAAATGCTAGTACAAAAAAAGCTCAAAATTAGTGTTTTTTTTCTGCCAACAGCACTGGCATTTATTTAAGCTAGTGTGCATGGAGCTTAACCTCTTGGCACCGGCGCCTCCCGGCCCTTTAAGGGTTTCAGAAGCTGGGAGGCGGGGTTTTAAGGTCATGTGACCACCGTGATTCGCCGTCACGGCGGACACATGTTTGGGAAAGGTCCTGATCGAAAGAGGAGATCGGGACCTTTCTGTGAGTACTGGACATGTGTGCTGGGAACACGCAGGGAGCCTGGTCTCAGCACATATGTTTTTGGTAATTGCACGCACATATGTTTTTGTTAATTGCTCAGCGTCAAGGCCCAGACACCGGGAGGCCGCACGCCGGCGTGAAGAGGTTAAGTACACCAAGGCAGATGTAACTTTTTTTGCACATAAAAAATACACATACATATGTGCCTGGAGTTCTACTTTAAAAAAGAGCAAACAGGAGGCACAAACCCCTAGTGCATTAACCAAGGTTTATTAAAGGTAAAAAGGGATGAAAACATACCCACAAACATGGCATAAATGTAAACCTTAGTAGAGCAGTAGAGATGGCCATAACAATGGTGGGTGTCCGACTGTCAGTGTGGTCAGGCTCTGAGGAAAGGGACTCGTTCCTGAAACGCGTCAACTAGCCGACCACACTGACAGTCAGACCATTGTTATGGCCATCTCTACCATTCTACTAAGGTTTACATTTATGCCATGTTTGTATGTTTTCATCCCTTTTTACCTTTAACCACTTCAAGTCCAGACACATTTACCCCCTTCCTGTCCAGGCCAATTTTCAGCTTTCAGCACTATCACACTTTGAATGACAATTGTGTGGTCATGCAACACTGTACCCATATGAATTGTTTAGCACTTTTTGAGACAGATAAAACTTTGGTGGTATTTATTCACCACTGGGATTTATATTTTTTTTGCTATATAAATGAAAAAGTCCAAAAATTTTTAAAAAAAGTGTTTTTCTTATAAAATTTTGCAAATAAATAATCTTTCTTCATAAATCTTGGCCAAAATGTATTCAGTTATCCCAAAATAACCCAAATTAGTTTATAACCAAAAATGATCATTTTTCAAAATTTGTTTTTACATTTTTATTTTAAATTATTATTTATGTTTTTTTTTTTAACATACTGTCACCCTAGCAGTATAGTGTCACCATAGTGACACTGTACTACTTGTGGGGGGTGATGAAGATTTTTTTTTTATTACACTGATTGAAAGGCTGTAAAAGCAATAATTTCTCCTTCTCTCTGGCTGCATTCCTGCAGCCATTGAGAAATACTGTGTGAGCTGTGATTGGTCACAGCTTGTCACATGGTACAAGGCTGTTGTGAATAGCCTTGTACTATGTGACCTCTTGCTTACCAGAAGTGACATCTTATTTATTACAGTTACTTATATAGCGCTGTAAATTTACGCAACGCTTTACATATATATATTGTACATTCACATCAGTCCCTAACCCTCAAGGGGCATACAATCTAAGGTCCCTAATTCATATTCATACATACACATACTGGGGACAATGTAGACAGGAGCCAATTCACCTACCAGCATGTCTTTGGAGTGTGGGAAGAAACCATAGTACCCGGGAGAACATGCAAACTCCAGGCAGGTGGTGCCGTGGCTGGGATTCGAACCAATGACCCTAGTACTGCCAGGCAGAAGTACTAACCATTTAGCCACTGTGCTGCCCATACTACTTTTCATGTGATCACTGATTGGCCAATCAGTGATCACATGATCGGGACCTCACACAGAGGTCCCGTACAGCGATCGGTGTTCCGGACACAGCGGGCACTGGATCGCGGTGCTGCGTGCTCCCAGGGAGCGTGCACAAGCAGGGAAGCGGGGAGGACGTTTATACACGGCCACCCTCCCCTGCACTGCTCCAATCCGGCCGTTTATATACATGGGCCAGACGGGAAATGGTTAATAAACCTTGGATAATGTACTAGGGGTTTGCGCCTCCTGTTTGCTCATTTTTCAGTTGTTGATTTCCCTATCTGAGGAGGGCAGCATCTCCGAAAAGGCTACCCATAGGCGACTGTGGTCCTGGTTCCCCTGGCTTTCCTTTGGCATTTGATCCCTGGAGCGCTGGAGAGTTTATTCTGTTATATGGCGTTCTACTTTAGTATGCTAAAGCTTGTATGATATTTTTGTGACAGAGTTTAGATCTGCTTTATTCATGATCCATTGTGCCTGTACAGACTTTTGATGCATCCACTGATTTCAATTACAAACTGAACAATTGCGCACTGCCAGGGGTAAATTGTACACAAAGCTGCCTGCAGCAAAATCTGTGGAAGGATATCAAAGGAAAAGGCGCAAAATCAGTTTGATGTGAAATCTTGGTCTTTTGCTACATGGATTTAAATAAAGAAACATAAACTGAAATATGTTGCTACTTTGTAAAAAAAGTTGAACTGTCTGTAAATCCAAAATCTATTTTTCAGTATGTTTGGCATTATGGCTCGTTGTCTACAGTTTTTCTCCATAAATCAAATAGTTTGTTACCCGGGGATCCTTCCTATGAGTATTTCTTGCTGGAGGTTTACAGCACTAAGTCAACACCCCGAAATTAGCAGCAGTGTTGTCACCCTGCTGTGTGAGCTCCTTCAGTTGGCCAATGGGCTACCTATATACACAGACCAATAGATAATGGTGCTTTCAAGAAGCACACATGGCAGGCTGACAACGCTGCTGCTATTTGCAAGGCAAGGGGGTATCTAAGTCAGCCTTCAGCAGGAAGTGCTGTTATTGCCAGGATCCAAGCTAGAAACTTTACAACAAAGCCACAAAAATGATTTGCTGAAGAAAACAGTGAGGGTTGGTTCACAATAGAATTGCGCAGGAACATGGTCCACATTCCTGTGTGATTCCTGTGCGATCCCCTACACTGCTATTTGACAGCCTATGTATCAGAATAGGCTGCGAATTGCACCAGTGCGCATAAAAAGTACAGGGATGTTCGATTCCTATCGCCTGATGCCCGGGACATGTAGTTCCACGCGTCGGGCAGGTAGTTTTTTTATACCTCTAGCCCTGCTGTGGGCAAGCAGAGGGCTCACCTGTCAGGTGGTAGCTGCTGCCCGATTGCTTCCACACAGTGCCAGACTCTCCAACTCCCCCCTTCCCCCGTGAGGTCTCCCCAGGCTCCCCTCTCCTTCTAGTCCTGACCCGGAAGTGACGTTATGATGCCACTTCCGGGTCCCCGTTGATAGAATGTAATGCGGTGCGATGTGCACTACATTACATTCAGTGGAGCACAGGGGTGACATGCAGACCCTAGATGCCTCGATAAAGAGAACCTGTCACCATAAAATCATCACATAGGGGACTTTTTTCATTGTAGAAAATGAAACCCAAGCACATACCATCCCCATAAAAGCACGCGCTGGGGCACCTACACATGAAAACATCACATATCGCTGCATACGCCAGAATGGAAGCAACAATTCTAGCACCAGATCTCCTCTGTAATGCTAAATTAATGACCTATAAGGACCTATAGAAAATATAGGGTACTGAAGTTCATCGCCATTTCACAAGTGAACACAAATTAAAGGTTTGACAAGTTGGATATCTATTTACTCGGTGCAAACTCATCTTTTATATTTTACAAAAACATGGGGTAATTTATTGTTTTTTTTTGTGCCCTAAAATTAACTTTGTAATGTTTGGGGTTTTTTTGTAATCTTCAGGCCTAAAATTATTTTTACAATGTGTGCAAAAAACGGCTTTGGCAGCGAAAACGCAAAAACGGCTCTGGCAGCAAAAGGGATAAAATATAAACCCTGACCCACCCTTTCCTGGCGAGCAGCCAATTGGTGCTCATTACACTGCAAGGTCTCTATCCTCTCTGCTAGTCCCCGGGTGCGGTGCTGGAGACAGGCAGGGAGGGGAGGAGGAGGTAAACAGCGCAATGTTAAAAATATTAAATGTTAAAGTCGCCATAAAGCCCCTTTTGTTTTTAAAAGCCCCAGACATTCCTAATATCACCTACAATTTAAATACAGTTTTGGTTAAAACATTTTTTTTTCTTTTACTT